AGAGAGAGAGAGAGAGAGAGAGAGAGAGAGAGAGAGAGAACCTTGAACTTCTGAACCTCCTGCCTCCAGCTGGCAAGTGCAGGAATTACAAGTCTGCCCCTCCCTGTCTGGTTTATGCAGAGGACGGAGCACTGGACTTTACACATGCTAAGTGAGTGTTCTACCAATGTCTACCCCTGGCTTTTTGAGAAACCAGGGCTGAGTCTCCGCATTCATCTGGAAACATAATTCCTTCCCCCAAGAAAGCAAGAACTCAGAATCGTGGCAAAAATGAAATACACTTTATTTAAGGAGCTCAAGTAGCTGGTGAGAATAGGGGAAGGAGAGGAGAGAGGCCCTGGGGTGACGCCCCTCCCCTCCCCCACCTAGTACATTCATAACGGATGTGAGCAGCTGGCTGGGACGAATCAGGAAGGTGGAGTCTGGACCCCACAGCGCATATTTGCAGGAACAGCGATGTCTGAAAAGAAGAAACTTCCAAATGATTCTAAGAACCCAGAGATGCCTCATGTTCCACTGGCACCCAGAAATGCTCGGGGCTCTTACGAGGGATGATAGTTCTAGCCCTAAGTCCTCCTCCTCAGATCCAAGGTCCAGACCCCAGCCCTTCGCCCTCCGCCCTCAGACCTAGGGCTCCAGCACCCAGCCCTCCTCTCAAATCAGGAAGTTCAGACCCTCCTCTCTCAGGGTCACCAATTCATACCCCAACCAATTTTCCTCAGATCCCAGGGTCCCCACCCTGGTTAACTCACCTATCTGCTGTGGCTTGGGCAAGTTCAGGTTGTCCATGACCTTGATAAACTCCTCACAGCTGAGAGTGAGCCGTGGATTCAGAGTCCGTTCCTCCTCCACAGTAGAAACTGTGAGCCCTGTCGGCAAAGGGGAGGGGAAGGAAAGTAACTTGGGGCCTATTGACTTAGGCAGCTAAGAACTACATTTCCCAGGAGACCTTGGGATTGTCTCCCTAGACTGGGACGGTCTCTTCCCTGAATGGTCCCAGAAGCTATCCCGCTTCTCTTTGGGCATTATGGGAAATGTAGTTTCCGCAGTTGCCTGCGCATCTCTGGGGATGTCCCAGAAAAACCTATGCCCTGCAGATGTGTCTTATTGTTTCTACATCCACACAGTACGCCCAAACACATAATCTTTTCAGCCACAGGAATTTCTGGGTTCTGTAGCCTCCGTGCCTCATGAGAACGCCAGGCAGAGGCAATTTTCCCTGTGTTAAGTGACAGCAGCCTGTCATGGCCTCGGGCAAGCCCTCACCGTGGTAATCGTGAGCCGGGTAGATTAGACAGTTGCCTGGAAGTGTGAAGATCTTCTCATGCACAGAATGGTACAAAGTCTTAGCACAACCTGAGGTAAGAAAACTTACAGGTCAGCGGATCAAAGAGACAAGAGGAGCTTCCTGACGCCCTTTGCCAGAGAAGGACAGGAAGATGGAGGTACTATAGCTAAACCCAATCTCTCATCTCCTGCCAAACATTCTCACGTGTCTTGGAGACACAGAAGGGGAAGGGCATTTAAGGAGGTGGGACAACATATATGAAGTCTTGGGAAATGGTAATAAGTCCATTTGGGTAATTTGTGATTCAGTAAGGTCTGGCTGAGAGCCTGAAGTACCAGGGGTTGTGACATCCTCGCTGGGGAGGTAAAGGAAGGGCTCTGGGCCAAGAAGGTGGGCTAAAGGTAAGACGTGAGACATGAGGACCAGGAGACAGTGACGCCGGGATTTGGATAAGGAGTTCTGGGGCCTGGGGCTGGAGGAATGGTTAGGGAGTAAAATGCTTGCCCAGCAAGCCGAGGGACTGAGTTCAGATCCCTAGCACCATGGCAGGGTGTGGCCTATGTTCCCATAGCTCCTGAGCCTACACCATAAACAGCAGAGGCAGGAGGATAACAGAGGCTCTCTGCTGCTGGCCACCTACCAAACCCAGCCCATACACAACACGAGCATACGTAAAGAATTTCTGAGTCCTCGGTTCAGATGGATAGGGAGATTAGGAGGAACCCTTCAATCTATGTGCTGCCTAAAGCCCCAAAAGTCACACTGCCCTCCAACAATTAAGCAATGTACAGAAACAACCTTCGTGCACCCTCATGTGTGTGTGTGTGTGTGTGTGCACATTTTTATGTTACCCTAAATGACCTTATACTCCTGATCCTCCTGCCTCTACCTCCTGAGTGCTGGGTTAAATGTCCAGACGATGGAGTATGAGGATTGAGGCCTGGGCTTCTACCCACTGAACTACACAGCCCCAGCTGCACATTCATTCATTCTTGTGGTTGCTTTCCTCTTCCTTCCTTCCTTCCTTCCTTCCTTCCTTCCTTCCTTCCTCCCTTCCTTCCTTCCTTTCCCTTTTGAAACAAAGTCTCTCTACAGAGCCCTGACTATCCCAGAACTCACTACATAGAGCAGGCTAGCCTTGAACACACAGACATCATCCTATCTTGTGGCTGCTTATTAACACTCTCACATACACCATTACACAGGGAGATCTTGGGCTGGATAAAGAAGCAGGTCACCTTGCTGGAAGTCTGTCCGTCCACACCCTCGGATCAGCAGGGCATCTCCAGTGAAGGCCATGCTCTGGTCATTCAGGACAAAGGTGACACAGCCTGGGGTGTGGCCAGGGCTGGCCCGAGTCTCCAAAGCCTGGCAGGGATGCAGTGCACAGAGACAGTCACCAGCAAGCCTCACTGATCCCCCAAAGCCCCGTACACCTGAGGGACACAACTGGAAAAAGGAATACAGGGACCGTTTTGCTTAAAGTTAATCTGAGAGCTGGACAGAGTGCAAATCCGTCAAATACAGGCTGAGGCTGGAGAACTCAGATTCAAGGGTTAGCCTGAGCCATAAGACAAGACCTGTCTTGTGGGGGAAAAGGGTGTCAAGTTGAAATATATCTTCCCTTCCTTCCTTCCTTCCTTCCTTCCTTCCTTCCTTCCTTCCTTCCTTCCTTCCCTCTCTTTGAGACAGAATCTCCTATATCCAGAGTGAACTCATGCTTGCTATGAAATCAATAACCTGCCGGGCTGTGGTGGCGCACGCCTTTAATCCCAACACTTGGGAGGCAGAGGCAGGCAGATTTCTGAGTTCGAGGCCAGCCTGGTCTACAGAGTTCCAGGACAGCCAGGCCTACACAGAGAAACCCTGTCTCAAAAAACCAAAAAAAAAAAAAAAAAAAAAGAAAGAAAAAAAAGAAAAAGAAAAAAAAAGAAAGAAATCAATAACCTTAAACTTCCGATCCTCCTGCCTCCACCCCCAAGATTTGCGGTTATGGGCCTGCTCCATCAGGCTTGGTTTATACAACGATGGAATCCAGGCTTTGTGTATGCTAGCCAAGTGTTTTGGCAGCTAACTGAGCCATGTCCCCAGCCCAGCCTGCCATTCTGAAGAGCAAAATTGCCACAGATGGGTTCCAAAGGAGCCAGATAGTCAGAGACTTGCATTTGTAACAGGAATTGTGCAATCGATACAAAGAGAGTTTGCATCTCAACAAGAAAATAGAAAAATAAACACCAAGCTGGGGGTAATAGCTCAGCAGGCTGAGCACACACAGACTCTGGACTGGCTCTTCAACACCGCAAGAAAACCAAGACTAAATTAGCATCCAGAGTCCTACAGTGGGGCTGGTGAAGGGCTCAGTAGGTAAAGGTGCTTGCTGCCAAGGCTGAGGGCCTGAGTTCTATCCCCAGGAGGGCTCCCTCAAATTATCCTCTGACCTTCACATGTGTGTCACAGTATGTGCACACCTGCACACACAGACAAATAAATACAAGTAATAACAATTTAAGTTATACTGTTGGGAAAAGGCTTAATGGTATTTCAAAAATACTTATTGATACCGAAAAAAGCTTAATATCCAGTAGGTGCAAAATAGGTTATAAAGTCACTTCTACAGTGTGATCCTTGTGCTGGGCATGGTGATACGTGCCTGTGGTCCCAGCACTAGAAAAGCTGAGGCAGAAGGATTACAATCATGAAACTAGTCTAAGCTGCAAAGTTCCGGGCTCCCTGAGCTACAGAATGAGACCCAGACTCGAATAAAAGAGTGAAAATCTTGGTAAAATAGTTACTAACAAATATATAGTAAATAATAATCTATAATAATCTATGGTAAGTACTAATTGTAGTATATTATTATGTCACAGTAAATGTATGGTAAATAATAATAAATGTATAGTAAATGTTATTTTTGTTGGTGGTGTTCTGAGACAAGATCTTCCCATGTAGTCCAGGCTGTCCGTGAATACACAGATCTTCCTGCCTCAGCCTCTCAAGTGTTGGAGTTACAGTCATCTGCCACCCTCATCTCTGTAATGGAAGGAGACAGCTATTGTGGCTAATGGTTTCCAAGGGTCTCAGCCCGTCACAGTGGTAAAGCCTAGCAGAGTCACGGTGGCTGGAGCTCGCAGCACAGACTCCTTGTATCACACGGAGCATGAAACCCTGACCCTGGCTCTCCCTCGTTGCCTGGCACAAACTCCCTGTCATGATGCTCTGACCAGCACGGGTCCACAGCCAGCTCTTCATCGACTGGAACTTGGAAATGTTGAGGCAGAATAAACCTTTCTTTCTTTTAGAAACGTTTAAAACTATATTTTATTTACTGTGTATGTGTGCCATGGCTTGTGAGTGTTGGTCAGACGACAACCTGCTGCAGTTGGTTCTCTGCAGGTTACCCATGTGAATCCCAGGGTTAAACTCTAGTCATTACACTGAGCAGCAAGCACCGCCTAGCCACTGAGCCATCTCAGTGGTTCACCTCTATCCTCTGTTTATGGCTGGAGCTGGAGAAATGGATGAAGAGAGAGAGAAACACTTACCACTCTTGCACGGGACCAGAGTTCGGTCCCAGCACCCATGTAAATCAGCTTACAGTTAGCTATAACTCGAGTTCAAGGAGACCTCATACCCTCTTCTGGCCTCCATGGGTACCACACTCCTGTACATCCCAGTAGGTACACACATACACATACACACACTCTCACACACACAAATATACACTTGCACACTCAAACATACCTGCACACACACAAAGAATCACACTCTCACATACACTAAACACACACTCACACACGTTCACATATAGACTCATACACACAAACACACCCTCACATACACACAAATACACAAACACACACGTACACACTCAAAAACACACAAAGAAACACTCGCATACACTAAACATAGACTCACCTACAAACACACAAAACCGCACTCATGCACACACAAATACACACTCAAACAATCAATGCTTACACACTCAAATACACAAAGACATACACTCACACACATAGATATCCACTCAAACACATGCACATACACACACAAAATACACACTCACATTTCCACACTCAAACTCACATGCACAGGCACAGAAAGGAGCACTCTCTCACACACACTCACATGTATACACACACAATTAAAAATAAAATAAATATTCTAAAATGATGTTTCTCATAGTCATTTTGTCTGTGACAGGAAACTAACAGCCAAAGAAATCAACAGAGGAACACTGTAATAAAACAAATCCAGAGGGTGGTACAGGCCTAGGAATTGAGTGAGGAACAGCAGGAATTCAAGATCACCCTTTACTATATGGTGGATTTTAAGCCAGCCTGGGCTATATGAGCTTTGTCTCTGAATAAAACAAGATAAAATACCCTCTGGAAGTTAAAAAACAAACATAAAAATCTACAGAGGAGGGCCAGCAAGATGGCTGAGTAAGTAACAGGGCTTGCTGCTAAGCCTGACAACCTGAGGTTTGATCTCAGCACCCAACACAGTAGAAAGAAAACCAACTCCTACAAGTCGTCCAGTGATCTCCACACAGGAGTTGTAGCATACGCATGCCATCCCTCTCCACACATACACACAAGAAATAAATGTACAAAACCTTTTCGATATCTAGAAACCCTGTGGGCTGCAGGGCTGCTGGAATCCAGTTGATAATACTACAGGAGCGGCTGCGTCTCATGGAAAGCATTTGGAGGCTTCTCTTCTTTCGCCATGCATTGAAACACTTTGAGTAGGTCTGCCATGGTTACCTTCAGTATTGAGTGACTCTCTCATGTGGCTTATGGGGTTTATTTGCTATTTATTCATTCTTTACAACTATTGTGTGCAGAAAGATGGGTGCTGAAAATTAAATGCACAACATTGGGTGTTTTAACCAGGTGCTCTGCCACTGAGCCACGCCCCCAGCCCCTCACTGGGGGATTCTAGGCAGAG